AAAGATGTCTCTTTACAACTGTCCAGACACATACAGTCCCGTTTCATAAGCCCTTCTTTGCATCTCCACCAACCGCTTTAAGCACTTTGAAGAGTCTTAGAGTGCACTTCACAAATTTCCACACAGGGAGCATATCGACTGTCAAAAAATCAAGCTTTCCCATTCTTTAACATCTTTTTTCCCCCCTCCTGCTTCCTCTTAAAGCTTCTCCAACTTCACATCAGGTTTGGCTTATACTTTTTTAAAGCGTGTTTCGTTTCTTTACACGAACTTTGGCGAATCAGCACTCTGCTAAATTCAAAGTTTGAAGGCAAAACGCTTGTCCAGGTCTCTCGTTTTTTCTTTTTTCTGAAGGAAAAAACACACATCTGCGCTGGAATTCAAACCACCTCGACCTCTTCATTTTTAAAAATAGCGTACGTATCAGCAAAACAGCAACGCGGCCCATTGTGCGTGTCTGTGATCATCTAAAGAAGTTTGGCTGCTGAGCTTTTGGTTTATGCACAAGTTTCCAACTCTTCAGGGTGCCACGGGTCTCGTCTCTCCCCTCCTCTCTCCGTTTGCCATCCTCTAGTTTTTAATTCTCCTTTTCTTTTTCTTCAAGTCCTCACACACGGAAGAGCATCATCTTTGCACATATAGCACTGGGTGTGATGAGGGATTCAAGTAATACAAGCATCTGCTCAGGGCTTTTGTGTTCAAAAGATTCAATTAAAAAATAATTACCAAAAGATTAGTAGTAGTCGAACACGACTGTACTGTTTGAATTGATGTTTCTTTTCATCTGGTTTAATAATAGAATGCTTTCTTAATTAAGAAAAAAGGGCCGCTGCGTTGCGCCCTGACTGAATAAAAGTTTGTTTGATGTGTTGAAAAATTAAATATTTTTTTGATCTAACAAATTAATTTTTCCCCCCCTTTTCCCTTTCTTTCTCTCGAGCCGGAGATAAAGACAATTTAATTTAGATACCAATGGCTAGAACAAACCATTCCCTGAGCTTCGGTCAACGAACGAGCTATAAAACCAAGCCCAGAACAATTAATTTCTATGGTGTTCATCTACAGTGCGGGGTTAGCGGCGCACGGACGTGATAGAGCATATACGACTGGTAATGATATCGGGAGAGAGAATCCGGCTGAATTTTCTCCTTAAATTACCTTCTCAGTGGTGTCCCGCACCGTGCGGCTAACGCACAGCTTACAAATCCCACGCGTGTATGCAAACACAGCGGGAATCTCCTGCGCTGCCGTAATTATCCCGCCATTTTAATCTCTGATGGCCTTATGTGAGATTACACACGCTGGAGCATGTATCAATGCTCTGCTACACCAAACAGAGAGAAACTGAGCAGAGTCATCAAATCAGGCTACAACCATGTCTGATTCCACAACAAACTGTTCTTTTCAGACTCATCTTTACTAACAATAGGTTGAACTGATTTACAAAAAAAGATTCAAAAAATAGTTTAATTCAGTGAACCAAAAATGTCTTCTTCAGTCTTCAGACATCTAACTATCTGAACTTATCTAATATACATATATATATATATATATATATATATATATATATATATATATATATATATATATATATGCACAACTGCATTTTAAATACCACAGAACCTGTCCTAAGTTTCGATTTAGGAGATTTGTACATGCAGCTATTTCAACAATTATAATCTGAGGGTTTAATATAAACGAATAAGAAAATTGCCTTTACAGTTGTCTAAATTAAGTTCTTAGTGATGGCTGTGTCCGAAATCACATATCTCCATACTACTGTATTTAGTATGCTAAAAACAGTATGCGAGCTGAGTAGTACTGTATGTCCGTATTCATAGAATTTGAAAAATTACGCAAAAAGTACCCGCATGTCCTAATACATCTGGCAAGATTCTAAAGTTTGCATCCGATGGACGCTACACTATCCCATCATGTCCTGCGAATTCATGAATTGGAGTAAAATGATGCAACTGATGTGGGTAGGTCACATGATTATGACAAAATGGTCCAAGTTCCATTCATATTTAGTAGGCAATTTTGGATTTTTTGAGAATGTGATGACTGGCTTAGATAAAGTACATTTCCATCATTTGCCAATTAGAGGCAGAGTAGTGCCTCTAATTTTTTTCTAAGTTTTAATATTAAGAATTGTAAAAAATGTATTAACATTTATATGCATTTACAGTATGTACATAGTATATCATCTTTGTTTCAAATTACAAAAAACAAATTACCGCTTATGCGAGGCATTTCTAATCCAGAGTCTATAAGACAGGACAGTAAATTTGACTTTATTCTCTCCTTTTTTTGCCATCATCAGTCTCACACATTTTGTTCTTTTTTCTAAAAGTCTTTATAACATCATCGTGGAGTTTTTCATTTATTATTTGAGCAAATACAATTGTAAAACAATTATTTGTTGTATTCTCCCATTTACTACGCTCTAAGGCTGCATTTACTCTGCAGATCTTGATGGTCAAATCCGATTTTGTGACTGTATTCGATTTTTTTGATGACCTGCTGACATCATCTTTTCAAAGTGACTTGTACCTGATCGTCTGCATTTACAGAGCACATGGCAAAGGCGCAATGACCAGGAAAAAAAGAGCGGGCACTGACTAACAGCTGATAATAAAAGAATGCTCTTTTCTCTATTCCTGTATGTAATATGTTTGCAGCTTTTGACAAGCTGTTTTGCTATAGTTTATGACAAAAAGGTTCTCATTTGTCCATCTTCTTTTGATATATATATATATATATATATATATATATATATATATATATATATATATATATATATATTTACTTTTAGGCATCTTAATGTAATGTCCATGATGTGATTTATGTACATGATGTATGCAGTAGTTTTATATTAGTTTATTTATATTGGTTATGTGGCGGACAATGCACTCTCTCGCTCTCGTAAACATAAATACCTGTGCTATATGACAAAATAAAAGTTGTTTAACTCCTCGTGTATGAGATTTAAGGTTTGGGACTCTCCTGCAGTCTGTTCTGAAAAGAAAGTGTCAGACTTGACATCATTCGATACGATTTTTAACAACGCGCAACTCACATTGACTGGTAAAAATCCAATCTACCTACTTAAACTGCAGACACGAATACACAGATACGATTCATATGGAATAAATTTCCACAATTGAACAAGGCCTAAATCTGATTTGAGTAAATAGGAATCCATGTGATTTGTTAATGTTTACACGTACATGGGCCAAATCCGATCTGTGCTACATGGGAGAAAAAAATCGAAATTGTGTCACTTAAACAGTGCCGTGTAAATGCAGCCTAAGTTATCCCAACTATGACGACTTTCCCCCCTCATTGTCCCTCGACCCCCTCTTTGAAAACCACTGGATTAGTGTACAATGTTTTTTTTTTATTTATTTTATAGTCATTTGACAAAAAAAAAATTTAAGTACACTGTAAAAATCTGTAATGTTACTGTAATTAATATAAAGTAAAATATTTTTTTTAAGTTTCTTTAAATTTAAATTTCAGCAAAATTTCTGTAATATAACATTTGTTATTTTACGGTAAATTTCTGTAATTTAACGTATGTTATTTTACGGTAAATTTCGGTAGTTGTTTTCCGGCTTTTTAAATTCAGTTTACCGCAATAGTTACTTTCCCTAGTAGTTACTTTTTTAATTTTAACCAGGGGATGTAACACTGACAACAGAGGTGTGGATCCACATGCAGGTTTATTAGAATGGTCAGGCAAGCACTGACTAATACAGGGGCAAATAGATATATAAGAGCAATCCAGAGTCAAAGTCAAAATAACAGGCAGATGGTCACAAGGTAGGCAGCAAACAGGATTTAACAAATAAACAAGGCAAGGATCAAAATCAAGGAGAAACAAGACAAAGGAAAATAGTAGTGTCACTAAAACAGATAACAAGACTCAGCCAAAGTGAGCGTTGCTGTGCTGTTCATGTAGTGAAGTAATCAGTCCAGAAGCAGCATCAGTTGTGAGAGTCTAATCAGTGGAGACTTGGAGCAGGTGTGTGTGTGGCATGACTGAATATGTAGTCTATAAATGGCTGATTTGTAGTCCTTTAGCAATCTGCAGCTACTAGATCGCTGGTGATCATAACAATAATTATGTAACTCAGTTACTATTTGTGGGGAATAACTAGTAACTTTATCTTATTACACTTTTAAAAGAACGTGGCCAACATTGATCGTTGATTTTCCCTTCACTTATAGAGAAATTATTCTCAGCCTGGCACTGTAAAGTGTGTGACAGCCAATCCTACAGTATGCCTGCATGACACTTCTCCCGACAATGGACGCTTTCTCACCCAATACTATTCTTTGCTGTTTTCAGGAGAATTTACTTTTGCTTTATAGCATTTTTACATCCAGCGTGTTTATGGTTTTGTTGTATGCTACTGTATACAAGAGTGATGTTTGACCTAATAAATATTTTCTGTTTTTACATGACATTGGTGTTTTCAGTGTACTGTTACTCCCCTCAGCAGAAACTGTCACTGTAGAACATTGTATTGAATTGTAGATATAAGCCTATAAAAGAGTAAAGAGCTTTAGATTTAGTGTTCATGGTATTTTGAAAGCAGTGTTACATTTTGAAGGAGATGTGATGTATTTTGCATTTTGTGAGTGCAGTTTTGAGAATTGTGTAGAGTTGTGAAAAAACACTGATCGTTGATTTCATTAAAACGATATGAAACATAATAAACAGCAAACTGCCTACTCTTTGCCTTTCACAATGTTTTTGAGCATTTAAAATGTCACACTGCTTTTTTGTTTAGTTTTATTTGTTGTTATATTTTGTTTGAAACAACCAGTTTGAAAGTACCAGGTTCACAGAAATGAATTCCCTTCACTTCTAGGCAAAGCTCCCTGTACTGTAAACCCATGTTAGTTTAATGCTTCAGAGCACCACACACACACACACACACACACACACACACACATCATCTCTCTCTCTCTCTTTCTCTCTGCTCTCCTCACCTCTAATCCACACTGGATCTGGTGCTGTCAGAATCACCACTAACTGTCACACCGCTGACCACTTCATCTGCTCCCCCACAGACACACAGGCCCGACTCCGTTTGACCGGACACTGACCTCAGCCCAGTTCAGCTGGGAACCTTCATGGAGAAAAATAACGAAAGAAAGAAAGAGAGAGGGAGAAAGAAAGAGAGAGAGAGAAAGAGAGAGAGAGACATAAAACAGGCCGGTGACAAATCAAATAGCCTCTGAGCTCAAGGCCCTGTGCTTGCTTTGCTGCCTCATAACCTTATTTGTTCTGAATATCGCAGAATAATAAATGATTTCTGTCACACTTTTCAAACACCCGTGCAACTTGCGCACCGTGTGTATGTTGGATAATGTACACAATGGGGCCTATCTGGAAAGAGGAGGAGGATGGACAAGGGATATATTTGATTGCCATAAAAAGGGTTTGAAATACAGAAGGAAATATCAGGTTTGTACCGTATAAACAAGGCCTTTCAAAAGGGAGTGAGAAGGAAAGCAGTTTACGTCTTTAGAGATTGCTGCTATGCTGTCAGTGTTTTTTTTTTTTATTTGTTTATACTACATTATTACATCACTGGCAGAACTCATGCACAGCAGCGATTGGTTTATCCTCAGCTGAATGGAGGCAAATGCATGAATGTGATTCACAAACCAGTCCTCTGGAGAATACTATTTACTTTGGTTTATGAAATTGCTGTTGTAATAATTGATAAATAAATAAAATAATAATAAAAATAAACAAATTAATGAATTAAAATGAACAAACAAATAAACAAATAAATGCAGTAGTGCTAACTATTGTTGATTTAGAAATTTATATTTTTAAATATTATTTATGATATAATATTATTTATTTATATTTCTCTGTGTGTATATGCATGTTTATTTCTTTCTTTCTTTATTTTAGTTTTAGTAAAAAAATACAGTACATAAAACAAAATTTCCATATACAAAACTATAATGCTTACCAGAGTTATGCTAGAATAAGCACATGTATTATCATTTTAAATATACTTTTGTTTTTTGTTATTTATTTTACAAACACTTACCGGCCACTTTATTAGGTACTTTCCAACTAATCGTTAATGCTAATTTTTAATCAACCAATCACATGGCAGCAACTCAATGCATTTAGGCAAGTAGACATGATCAAGACGATCTGCTGCAGTTCAAACCGAGCATCAAAATAGGGAAGAAAGTTGATTTAAGTGACTTTGAACATGGCGTGGTTGTGGTGCCCGATGGGCTGGTCTGAGTATTTCAGAAGCTGCTGATCTACTGGGATTCTCACTCACAACCATCTTAAGCGTTTACAGAGAATGGTCTGAAAAAGAAAAACATTTATTTAGTAAGTGGCAGTTTTGTGGGCACAATTGCCTTGTTGATGCCAGAGGTCAGAGGAGAGTGACCAGACTGGTTTCAGCTGATAGAAAGGAAACAGTAACTCAGATAACCACTCATTACAACCAAGGTATGCAGAAGAGCATCTCTGAATGCAAAACACGTCGAACCTTGAGGAGGAAAGGCTACAGCAGCAGAAGACCACACTGGGTGCCACTCCAGTTAGCTAAAAACAGGAAACCTAGGCTACAATTCACACAGGCTCACCAAAACTAGACAATAGAAGATGGGAAAAATGTTGCCTATTCTGATGAATCTCGATTTCTGCTGCGACATTCGAATGGTAGAGTCAGAATTTGGCATCAACAACATGAAAGCATGGATCCATCCTGCCTTGTATGAATGGTTCAGACTGGTGGTGGTGTAATGGTGTGGGGGATACTTTCTTGGCACACTTTAGGTCCATTAGCACCAATTGAGCATTGTCAACGCCACAGCCTACCTGAGTATTGCTGCTGACCATGTTCATCCCTTTATGACCACAGTGTACCTACAGTATTTTCTGTCGATTGCTTCCAGCAGGATAACTCGCCATGTCATAAAGTGCAAATCTTCTCAGACTGGTTTCTTGAACATGACAATGAGTTCACTGTACTCAAATGGCCTCCACGGTCACCAGAACTAAATCCTATAGAGATTCTTTGGGATATGGTGGAATGGTAGATTTGCATAATGGATGTGCAGCTGACAAATCTGCAGCAACTACGTTATGCTATCATGTCAATATGGACCAAAATTTTAGGAATATTTCCAGCATTTTGTTGAATCTATGCCATGAAGGATTAAGGCAGCTCTGAAGGCAAAATGGGGTCCAACCCAGTACTAGTACTGTGTACCTAATAACGTGGCTGGTGAGTGTATAATTTTATCATGTGCTTTTGCATTTTTCTCTCAATATTTCTAACACATTCAAACTCATAATATATGCTACATGTGTAATTCTAAAGTTTTATTTGTTAAAATTAGAGTTGTTAATTCCCAGAGATGGGTTGCAGTTGGAAGAGCATCTGCTGCCTAAAACATATGCTGGATAAGTTGGCGGTTCATTCCGCTGTGGCGGCCCCAGATTAATAAAGGGACAAAGCCGAAAAGAAAATGAATGAATGAATAAAATAGCAATGCATTTTATAGCACTTACTATTTGTTAATGCTAGTAAAATGAAACGATGTATTCCTGCTAATTACTAAGTGTATTACCAAACAAAACTACAGGTTTTAATAAAATATTAGTATAGGTTAACATTTACAAACAAAAAAGACATCGACAAAAACACTTCAAGGCAAATATTCTAATTTTCATTTTGTCGTTAGTCAATGTTACATTTTTCAAATAGTTTAAGTTTTTCAATAGAAACACTGATCCATTTATTAACAGGTCAATGACTTGCATTTACTTAAAGAAATTACATTTTGGTTTGTTGACCAGGTTTAAAGCAGCGGTTAAAAGTTCAAGGTGACCTTCACTCTTCATTTTAAAGTATCTACAGAAGCAGTTTTGAATGCTAATTATGCCTGATAAAATCTCAACAAATACATAAAAGAAAGAAACAAGTTTTTGCTTTTTGGGGAGGGGTTCAATAAAAAAATGTTCTTGGCGTTCCTTACCGTTGAATTATCCGCCTTTGTCTACTTTGACTGTCCCTGAATATTCAAGAAATGAATGTTGGCAGAGAGAAGAAAAGATATTAATTAAGAGTAGATTCTGCATTGACTCAGACTTGTACATAAGACAAAAGGTTAAGTAAATGCCAGGGCTGCTATGTCACCTCAAACAATGAGTATTAGCTTTGGAATCATTAATGTCTGCTGAGAAAACACAGTCAAATTGGAGTCTTGATTGCCAGAAAATGTGAGGCCAGGGCTGTTTCATTTCAATCTATAGTTAAATTAGCCTCCGACAGCGGGTTGAAAACACACAATTAACTGAGCTAGGTGGGGCGTAGGGGAACAGCACCTCTAATGCACCGCTAGATTGAGATTGAGCCGGGTTTCCAAATAAGAAACATCTCATCGGCTTTGCAAATCAAAGAAGGGGCTCCCGGGCTCCTTGCCGTCTAACCCCGTCATATGAACTCATTGTCAGGGGCAGACTCTCTCAGGACCGTTCCCGGAGATGAATTTTGGTCAAAATGTAGGCATTTCTAGAAAAACTCGAATAGCCAAGCCAAGGTTATTATAGTTTTGCATTTTTAAATTAGTTGTTATTTTGATATTTTTTTACATTTTTGCTATGCATTTCAGCTTGTTTCATTAATGGTTTAGTTTAGCTTTTACAGTTTAGTACATTTTTATTTTTTTTATTTTAATAAATTTAGTTTCAGGTTTAGTAATTATAGTTTATAATACAATAAACTATATCCCGTGCTATCTCCTCATTATTGTTTATACCATTGTCATTATTTAGGTTGTTGTTGTAGTAATAGTAGCAGTCATTGTAGTAGTAGTTGTGGTTGTTAAAGTAGTAGCAGCTGTGGCTGTAGAAGTAGCAGAAGTAGTTGTAGTAGTATCAGCAGTAATAGTTTTTGTAGTAGCAGTCATTGTTGTAGTAGTTATATTAGTAGTAGTAGAAGTAGTTGTAGTAGTAGCAGACATTGTGCTAGTAGTATCAGTTGCAGTAGATGTTGTTGTAGCAATGCCAGTAGTAGTATTTATTGTTGTAGTTTTTACTGTCATTACATTACTGTTGTTGTTACTCCTCACCACTGATTGGTCTTTTTCTATCCAAGTTTTTTGATTTTTGATTTTAACTTACTATAAGTAATTATAGTTTAGAGCAATGCAACATGTTTACACAGCTAACATTAACTCTGGTGCAATCCTCTAAGTAATAAAAATAGTAGTTTGAACAGATACTGAACCCGAAACCATTCAAATGAATAAAAGTAAAACAATTATTAACAGTCAGACATTATTGTTCATAATAAAAATAATACCGCATATGTAATTCAACAAGCCTAGTCAACATTTTTTAGCAAATAAAAAAGGTAGAACACCTGTTTTACGTTTATGCAGAAAGTATGTTTTTGTCAACCTGATCTCACGAGGAAACGTAACTATTTTACATTTCGTCAGTTAAGTGGCTAATTCGTACATTCGAACAGAAATGTACGATTTTAAAATGGAGGTTTAAATTGTACTGAATTGTACGAATGAGACCGTATGAATTCGTGCAAATTAGCCACTAAAACAAAAAGTTAAGAATTGTCATGAGATTGTGTTGGTTTTTGCATATGAGCTTGACTGATGCGTTAGACTGTAAAAGCGCAATCTACAGGTGTTTCTACAAACTAAAGCAGGTCAGATTTTCTGCCACAGAATGAGGCTCATTAATTCTGAAAACGATTACTATTATTTTTGCTAATTATTATATTTTTTCAGTGACTGATGTTATTTTCGCTAAGTGTTTTTATTTATAGTGATTCTGATTTTAGTTAAAGGTCCCAAAGTGCTTTAAAATGTGCATTTTTTTATTCTATGTTTGACATAATCTGAATAAAATGAAACATGAAGAGAAGGCGGGACATACAGTAGCCCCTCCCCAACCAATAGCGTTATGTTTCATTACAGTTCTGCCAGTGAGAGTGGTTGTGCTTAAGCCCATCAAATGAAAAGGAAATGAGAAGCTTCTTGAAGGGAGTGGGGCATGTTAGATACTAGAGCACATTTGACTGGTCAGAAGATTTGATGAGATACTGAAGTATGGGATGAC